ATCTCAGTTAGAGACAGATTGGTGAGCTCACAGAGCAGTGACTTCTAACCAGAGGCACATGTGAAGTCTTAGGAAATAATTCATGTGCAGATTCTTCTTCAGAAACAGGCTCAGCAGACCTAGAGTAGGGCCCAATGAATGATACTTTTAAAAGTTATTTGGCTAATTCTAGTATGTACTAACATACTTTAGATGAGCCTGCTACGGTAAAATGCTGTTTTATTAGGGATTGACATTGGAAATATTTCTGAAAACCAGTTTGTGGATATATGATCTTAGTTCAGATATCTGCCTTTCATTTATATCCAGCTGTTACTAGTTTTACGTGGCTTCCATAACAAATTACCATCAACTCAGTGTCTAAAAATAACAGAAATTTATTCCCTCACAATTTTAGGGGTCAGAAGTCTGAAGCCAAGGTGTGAACAGGGCCTCACACTTCCTGAGGGTCAGAGGAAAGTCGGTCCCCAGCCTTTTCCAGCTTCTGGAGGTTGCCCTCATGCCCTGGCTTAGTCGATATCACTGCAGTCTCTGCTCCTCTTTGGGTGCTTCCTCTTTAAATTAAACTCTGCTCTCTTATAACAATGTTTATAATTGTATTTAGGGCCCAGCCAGGTGCTCTTATCATCTCGAGCTCCATCGTATTTTTGAGGCTTTTTGCATGTCACATCATATTCCAACATTCCCAGAATTAGAAGCCGTGTTTTACAAGTCCATATTTGGTCCCCAGAGTGGGCTGTTATTACATCATTGTATGCATCCACAGGGGCTTCTGTGACACCTTTCTCCTCTTACCCCTTGCTGCAAATCCATGGCAACGTGGAAGTGGACAGCTTTCCAGGACAGTGTTTACCCACAAATCTTGCCTTCTTGAACTAGGCCAGGTTACTTATGCCAGGATTTGTTTTCCTGAGCTGCAGGCTGCACCTCCAGTTTCAGGCACTCACATAGCATATGCCTTTGGTTCCAAGTGGAGTGAGGATAGGGTCACTGAGGCAAGCCTGTCATTTCCACTGACAAAGGAACTTCAAGATGTGTCCTAGCAATGGTGGCTCTTCTTGAAAGCTCGTCTTTTAAGAATAGATTCTTACAGTGACCAGCATTATTTGAATCTTTTCTACAATAGGCACAAACCTTGTAAACTTTTCACAAGTGCATTACCTTAGACTTAGCATATGGAATGCTGTTAAGTTTGGTTTCAGGAGGAGAAAATACAGTTAGTTGATAGTAAACATGGAAAGAAGGGTTGGGGATTAAAAGAAGGGTTGGGTAGAATGCATGCTTAACATGTGGAAACCCTTGGGTTCAATCTTCAACACAAAAAGAATAAATTAAAATGAGGAAGAGGAGGTGGAAAGAAGGAGAAAAGGAGGAGAAGAAGATGTTTCTAAGTCAAAGTTAATGACAACAGCTGTGAGACTTTAGTCTTTTCCAGATACATAAGAAATATTTGATTCATGCTCTTGGACGCTTTTAAGCTTTGAGATCCCTTTGTGTTATTTGTTGTAATGAAAGTGGAGGATAAGTTCCAATAAGATGCATTAGAGATGCCCAGAGATTAAAGAGGCTCATGAATGAAGGCTCTGCTGCAGTTTGAGGTGATGACCACCCAGTAGTATTTATTAATGTGTGCCATTGTTTGATGTTTTCTAGTTGTACTAAATTAGTCATATATGACTCGGGAAGGCTGTGCAACCCAGGAGGGTTATACTAGTGCCTAGGTCAGCGCTGTCCCCTGAATAACTAGTACCCTGGTCACTTGTCTCAGGAACGGGCCAAGCCCTAGTACTTCATCACTGCACTGGGACTGGTCCACTGGAGGGTAGGTGGCCTAAATGACAATAGTTACTTTCTGCCTGGGACTTGTCATTGCTGAGACTAGAAGAAAGAACTGTTTACTTTTTCATGTTTAGACACTTAAAGGTGTAAATAGTTACTGCTGAAAGTAGATGGTTTCATGTGTACTAGATCAATAAGAACTGGAGATATGTAGGGTGGAAAAGAAGAGTTGAAAGTTAAGGGGAAATTTTTTAAATTATTAAATCTCTGAAGCCAGTTCCATCCATACCTCTTTATGATTTGATGACTTAAACTGTAGGTCCCCCTTCTCATTAAAATAGTTAGAATTTAGGTATTTTATGTTTGAAGCTAAGAGAAATCTTGATTCACATATGGAATATTAGTGTGGAGAAGTGAAGACAGGATTGACTAAGAGTTATATAGTCTGTAGGTATAATAGAAAGTTAGTAGAACAAAAAAGTTGAAAGTACAAATTGAGTATCCCTTATCTGAAATTCTTGAGATGAGAAGTGTTTGTGATTTCAATTTTATTTTCAGATTTTGGAATATTTGCATACACATGGTAAGGTATGTTAGGGATCAGACTCAAGTCTACACCTGAAATTCATATGTTTCATATACATCTTACATACACAGTGTTTTCGGTATTTTTGTGCATGAAACAGTGTTTCATGATGCAGAGTTTTCCACTTATGGCATATTGTAGGTATCCTAAAAGTTTCAGATTTTGGAACATTTCAGATTTCAGATCCATGGGTGAGAGTCTTAGTATCAACAGGAGTATGTGAAATGAAGACCACAGGATGCACCATGTTTTCTGGGCCACACAGAAAAAGAGGTAGTGGCTGTTGGGCAAGAAATAAAGAGGAGTCAGATGAGTTAAACTCTTGACTGGGCTGAATTGATAAAAAGAGAAGGAGGTGAGGTAAGGGTTGGATGCCCTTACTGAACATCTTTCTTTTATTAAGAAAAATAGGGTCATCACATAGCACTGCAAAGTCAAGCAAATTTCATTGTAATTTTGGTATATGTGATAGTGATAGCACCGATCTTTTAGAGTTGGCATGCTGCGCTAAGAAATCTATCTTATATTTTATATATATAAGGTGAGGACTTGTCCTACAATATGGCAAGCCCGTTGAATTTGACAAGATAGTTTGTCCTTAGAATTTTGTTGTGAGATATCTGGCTGATTGAGTAACAAAAAAAAAAAAATGTTTTTTTTTTTAATTTTTATTTTTTTTTTATTTAGACCATTTCTCTTTAGTCAGAGAGTCTCAAGGACAAAACAGTTTTAAAAACAAGTGTTGTAGGGCAGATGTGAATATATTAGGAGACTTTTGGATACTTAGATGTCATTTTTAAACTGTGTACCTTTATGAACAGATTTTTTTAAGAAATTCTTGCCACACTATGAATTATTCTGAGTAATACTGAGAGTGTGACTATAAATAAAGAGCCGTTCTCGATCTCTTTTCTGTTGCAGTTTCTCAGCCCGCTATTACTTGTGGGTTCAAAATGGCTCAGACAGTAGTAGAATCCATTTAAAAGCCCTTTATCCAGAAGTCATGAGACCCTCTGCGCTTCCTTAGGTGTTCACCTCCAGGAGACATTAACAGTACTGTATCTAACGCTTTTGGAGTTTTTTAGTAAATTTAGGTTCTTCTAAAACAATATCTAGTTTGATGCATGGTCCTAAGATTTGGTTTATTTTATTATGATTTGTGATATTCTCTCAATGTTTGAGGACACTTAGTAAAGACATCATCGCGTAATGAGGATAAATCATCTCCTGATTGGTATTTGCTACCATAATTATTTATATTAGAGCTACGCTGGAGAACTTCCGCATAGGCTGTGAAGACGCTGGCTAAAGATACATGTATTGAATCCTTAACAATACAAAATCTGTACCCTACAGATTGGTGTACTATATTTGGAAGGAAATGCATTACTAGTGCAGTCCTTCTGCTTACATGCATCTAGACGCTTGGAGGAGTTGTATTAAAAGGCAGAAGATAAGAATGCAAAGCATTTCTACTTGTTATACTGCTTGAACAAGTTTTGAAACTCATCTTTCCTCATTTGCAAAATGAAGAGTTGGGTGGCATCTGGGGTTTTTTTTTTTTGGTACTGGGGATTGAATTCGGGTCCTTGCGCTTGCAGGGCAGGCCACTGAACCCCTGAGCTAAATTCCCGGCCCTTTTGTTTGTTTGTTTGTTTGTTTGTTTCTTTGTTTGTTTGTTTGTTTGTTTTTCCTTTTCTCTGTCTTAAAGTGAATGAAATACTTGCTAAGCCTTTCAAGTTCCAATAGATCCAAATCCTTCTTTGAGGAAAAATCTTCCAATACCATCATTGTTAGTTTGCGTAGTTATTCTTGTGTTCAGTATAATTTTTTATTGTAATTGTGTGTATAAATGAATATGACATTATAATGCTTTATCCAACATTTAAAGCATTTTCCTGGAAAAAGCTGTTATTGTGGAATAATTTGGTTACAGAGCCCTTATATTTAATGTCAGAGCTAGAACAGGGAAGCTATCTTAACTGACTTGACTGTGTCACTGCTGTTACCAAGGTTTAAAGAAGCTTTCTGTCCCCTCCATCAGCACACACACATGCTGTCTTCACACACAGGTGTAAAGCAGATTATGGCATTAGAACATAACTTAAAAACTGTTTATGTCATTAGCGTAGAAACACTAAACTATTCTGAAATGTGTTTCCATATTTAGCTTTGGCCACCCTTTTGTGTATGTCTCTAAGTAAGTCGCTCTGAAAACAGTTGGATTTTTTTCCATTAGTGAAAAAGGTGTAAGAACCACCAAAGTCCAGAAGAATGGAACTATAAGGCCATGTTTTGAATGACAAAAGTAGGATGTGCAGTCCACTTTTAATCACTTCCCAATGTTGTCATGATGAGATGTAATATACAGTGCTGCCTCTTATTTATACAATTTCTTTACTTTATGAAAGCATCTTTGATTCATAAAACTCTGCTTGCCCTGTGCTCCTTTGCTTCACTGAGTGTCCTCACTTTTCAGAGCCAATAATACTCTGACAGGGGCCTCAGGCCGCCCAGTCAAGACAGCTGGAGAGTGAAAGACGTTGATTGCAGATGCAGATTGCAGGACTTTTGGGTGAATTCAGAATAAGGAATAGGATGAAAAGTAATTTGATATTATTTTCTCTCTTTACAGGCTCTATACAACTCCATTAAGAATGAGAAGCTTGAATGGGCAGTGTAAGTATGCTGGATACCAGCCTTTTACTAATGAACTACTCTCTTTTTTTCTTGCTGCCTTGGAGGTGATTTTAGAGAAGGACTAAGTATGCATTACCAGTTCTCATTTTACATCACGAGTCCTACCTACTTTCTATAAAACCTAAGTAAACCCTGAGTAGCCCATGATTTTCCCCCTTGGTACACAGAATACTCCTGTTCTTTTTAAATCTCATTTATATGCCTATAGGCAAGTAATCATATTTTTTGATGTATCCTTTAAAAATAGTATTCAAAGAAAATCTTCTGATCAAATTAAATTTACCCCAAAACCCAATGCACAGGATTTTAATACCAACTGCTTGTTTTCATTCTCTCTTACTATCATCATAGATCAAAGTTTTCCAATCCTATTTCCTGTAGTTATCCTAGACCATTGATAATAATAACCGCACAACGAAAAAGGGTTCTGTGCATAGATATGCTTGAGAAATGATGGATTAAATAGAGCTAATATTTCTAGGAACATTTATAGCACTTATTGTATATTATCAGTCTTTGGTACTAAATGTTGTGTTTCAGGGTCCCTACTGTGGGAAATGTTGTGGATAAATTGCACTTTATGTAAACCAACCGTACTATTTTTGTTAAATTTTCATTAATCAATACAAGTAAAACTTTAATTTAAAAAATGTCCAGGGAACAATCTTTGCTACATTTTTAATCAACTTACCAAGAAATTAGGTCAAAATGTATTTTTTAAATGGAAAATCCATGTGAATCTTACTATTTTCACTGATATATAGCATTCGTATTTTTTAACCTTGTTGCCCAACAGCAGTCTGCAGTGAACTCAAATTTACGGAATCCTAACGTGGGTGATAAATCATGTTCTATCATATTTGTCCTGGGCAAAATGACTTAGCAGTTGACTGTATCTCGTGTGTAATATGCTAGAGTGAATTTAAAAAGTCAGTGCCACTTAAATTGTTTTCCGAGTGTAGAGTTATTCGATACTGTTTCAAATTGAGTTAAAGACTTTAATATTTGCATGTATATGAAACAGCTTGTATGTGTTCATAAATAATGAGAGTCGTTTAAAGACAGTGTACTATTTCAAGGAAAACCAAGATTATTAGGAATAGATGGTCTAAAATTCAAAGTATAAATATATTTAGACTCACTTCTTTTCCTAAAAAACAAAAACTGTGAATATATTTAGAATGTTGCTGAAATGTTAAAGGGAGAATTTTCCCACTAGAGAAAACAAATAAAAAAAGGAAATACTTTGAAATATATTCATACTGGAGTAGAGAATATTTTGAGTATTATTTTATAAAGCAAACAAATATAATATTGAGAACCTGCTTTGTGAATCACATATCTCAAATGCATTGAATATATTTCTGTCAATGTTATTTACGTATTTTTTTGTAGTTGGACTTTGGCTCAAGAATACTTTATCGTAGGTCCTACCTGGACATATAGGGATTAGGAAGTTTACTCAAAAACTGGATACTTCTGTGGCCCTTTTGTCTCATTAGCAGAGTGGTCAGTTCAGGAACCCAGATCCCAGAGTCAGGTAGATCTGAGTTTGAATTCCAGCTCTGCCTTCTACTAGCTGGGGTTACTGGGCAAATTAACCTCAAGGCCTATTTCCCATTTACTAGATGGAGCAACTCTTGCATCTCATGGAGCCAATAGGATAACACTGTGCAATGTTGTAAAACAATAAACAGTAAGCAAATTACCCTTCTGCTGATACCTAATGCTATAGCTTTTAAAGCCCTGGTTTCTGTTTTATGTTTTTCTTTTTGTATCTCTCATTCATTGGCTTATACATGTACTACTTCTTATCCTCTATAATTCCTAAGGTTCTGTTCTTATAGACTCACATAATTAAAATTACTTTTCTATACCTATAAAATGAAGGAAATGGATGAAATCACAAGTTTCCTTTCCTTCTTAATTCTTTTAAGATATATATGCATCTGATTTCTTCCCCAAGTTTCAATTCAACATTTGCGTTTTCCTGCAGGGTATTTCTACCAACACTTAGCACTCATCGTTTGTCTCCAGCCTTTGGTGTATGTTTTCCATTGATGTTGATGACGCCCCCATTCTGCTTACTTGGATTTTAGCTTCTGAGTCATCTGTTGTCCCATCCACCCTCTTACTACTCTAGAAATGGCCTTGAACACCACAAACAGTCGCTTCCTATCAGGTGCCTCTTACTCCATCCAACCCATTCTTGTACTTTAATCTGTCCCTCTGTGATAATTAGGCCTTGCCTGTAATCTGTTTTATCCTCTGCTATTGTCTCCACATAGTCCTCATTTCAACCAGGCTGCCAGAAGATGCATTTCCCTGTGCGTGTCCCCTGGTTTCCTGCCTTTTTGCCATGTTCCTGAAGTAATCTCCGCGTCCAGCCTGCCCCCACCATCCATTGCAGCTCAGCTTAGATAACACCCATTCCTTGAATGTTTCCTTCTTACCAACCAGAAATCATCTCAGCACTTGTGCATCTATTTTGCTTTATCTGATGGTACCATCAGTTTCTGTTCCATTACAGTAATTTGTACTAAGGTATCACTGAACTGTAACCTGCTCTAAGGAAATGATGAGCGTGTAGAATTGTGCCTTTTTGTCTCTCTTTGCTGATATTATAGTGCCTCTATGTAATGAAGACTCCATACAAAGCTACAGAAAAGGCTGGGTGTGTAACTCAGTGACAATGTGTGTTCTTAGCATATGGGTGTCCAAGGATGGCACCGAGCACGGTGGTGGGGGGTGAGGGGATGGGGAAGAGCTGTAGAAAGATTGTTAGTCATACCCAAAGAACTGCATTCGTGAAAGATAAACCTACAATTGTTTAGTTTAGAAAGTAGTTCCCAAAAATCTACAGCTGCTGCAGATTTTCTATGGTAATGTGTACTTGCATGGGAAGTATCTTAATGTCAGATTTTAAAAACATAGAGGAAATGAATATATAGAATCATGGAGAATTTTAATGCATGGAGTTCTAACTGGTTTCCATGGATACCTAGGTCTTCAGGGAGATGTCTCCCTCATGGTACGAGTGAGGGGAAAGTGGGAAAACGATGGGAATCCAGTTCTGCCTCTTACAAACGTCATGCCTATTTCAACTGATGAAAACAACTCTGCTTTTATTTATTTTTAAAAATGTAACATTATATTAATATTTCTTTTTTAAAAAGATATCTACACTTACAGTATTTTTGCTGAAAAATGCTAATCTAGCCCAGTGCGTTTATTTCATATATGAAGGGAAGTAAAATGAAGCAACATTCATCTCCAGATCCAAAGGCATACACAGTAATGCAGGAAAATGGGGATTTGTTTCCTTGTGAGTTATGGCTCCCACTAGGAGCTCCATGTTGTCTGGCTTCTCTGTAGGCACAGTTTTATAAAGTCTTTAGAGAGCAAGGATCGTGTCTAATTGTATGCCAGTCTTTGACACTGGGCAAATTTAGAATGTTATATCAATGTGTTTCATTAAACGTTCATAGAATTACGAATGTTTCCCCCCAGGCAAGTTAGATGGTATGGATCATTCATTCCTCTCTTCCACACTCTGTAAGCAGCTTTTTTTCAGTGTCTGGCCCAGGGCTGCACCTGTGATACAAATGAGAATAAGGTACAGATCTGTGCTTAAGGAGAACACAAGATGAAGGGTTGCCTGGGGAGGGAGGGTCGGACAGTGCAAAGATAAAAGTGTAAAAATGGTAGTGGAGTGGGGTGAGTCAAACTGACTAGTGAGAGGTCTTGACTTCCTCATGCAGGGCAATTACCATTTCTTTTCCAGCTTCCTTTGCTCAGTTGTTCATTATTCATAAAGCATCTATTTGTTGAATTCCTTTCTACTGTAGTAGGCTGGGAATTTGGGAGGAGCAAAAGTGTATAAAGCATTTTCCTTGGTCTTAATTTATAGTGTAAATTAAAATTTTTTTTATAAAGATATCAGTTACTCTCTGCTTGGGATGAGGTTAGTTAAGGTAGATATGTGAATTTACAAATTACATTGGAGTTGTTTAAAGTATAGCTTGTTGAAGATCTTCAGACAATACATGAACAAAAGTGGAAAGTAAAATAAGTGCAGCTGAACAAAGCAGGTCTACATTTTTATTTTTGAAAAAATAATAGTAATGAAAGTTTCACTTAATTTTTTTTCATTTACTGGGAAAATTAATATTTTCTTCCTTCTCTTGACCTCTGTTTATTGGTGTTATTCTCTGTCATTTAGGAATTGCAAGAAGCCTCCGTTACCTCATTCCAAAAAACTAGTAGTAATGATAATAACAATACTTCATATATCCTGTCTCACATTAATTAAGCACAATAAAGCCAGCTTTGAAAGGTGCCCTGTGGGATCACATTTACAGTAGTGTTGTTTTGTCGCAGCAGCTTTGGTCTTGCTGATCATTTTGCACCATTGATGTTTTTAATTCTGATAAGCATTTTGTAACTTGGCAACACTGAATCATACTTAATAATTAATATTGCCCTAAAATCCTGCAATTCGTTTTCTAACAAGAGCATTTTAAATCCTCAGTTTCTGTGCTTCTAAATTAGACCATTTCTTTTCTGCACTCACATAGTGAAGTGTCCTGGCTAATCACATGGGGTAGCGACACCCCAAATGTTTTCCTCCCCTCTCATTGTGAGTTAGGAGCATTGACCCTGAAAAGTGTGGTTTTAAAATCCCAGCAGTTTGTTGTTAGTCTGCCTTATCATTTCTTTCCCTCCCATGAACTGTATCATGCCAGGTCTTCTCAGGAAGGTATTGCTGTCCCTTAGTGACAGATTTGATGACATTAGGAAGTAAATCTGAATGTGAGACTGATATAAACTCTTTTACCTTTTAGTCTCTAAAACTAGTCTTTCTCCGAAAAAAAGAATTCTACTAGAGCTCTTTTACTTTAATTTTTGATTTGCTTTCCATCTTTTACTTAGCTCAGTATTAATCCTAATTTTATTGTAAGTAATCATACATAGTAATT